CCTTCAGTATGGAGTGTGATCTCCCCTAGAAGCAATACAACACAAACAGTGATGTGCGATGCTGTCAATTATGCAGTCTATTAGTTCCGTAGCATGTGAGTGACATTTCTCTTGCAAAGCAGTTGTAAGAGTGGCAAGGGTTTGAAAAGGATGACCAAGAGGAGCTATACGTCTTCCTATAGTATACCAGATCTGAATCCTATCCAGCACCCCAAAATTGCTGGATAGGATTCAGGTCCCCAGTGATCGAGTTCGCCACTCCATGCGCTGAATTGTTTGCTACTGAAGATAATCATCCACGATGCGAGCGTCGCAGTCCTGTAAAAGGAAATTATCCCCTATTGCCTCGGCATAAGGGTGCACACAAGCATCAAGGATGTCATCTCTATAGGCCTTAGCATTCATGTTTCCACCCGAAAGATATGGAGGTCGTGGGTCCACCCAAAGACATGCTACTCCAAACGCAGACACTGCCTCTTCCGTATGCATTTCTTTCACGGATGTTTGATGGATGATAATGCGTTTCAGGTTCTTTCCAAATCAAGTAACGCTTTCGAAGCTAAAGCTGAACTCATCCGTAAAGAAAACAGCCCTCCACTGATCAGCTGTCCAGTGGACATATTGACGTACCCACCTGAAACGTTCCCTTTTATGACGTGATGTGAGCGGCACGCAGATAACTAGCCGCTTCGAGTACAGATCTCCTTCGGGAAGCCCTCTAGCACAGTTGACGATGACACCAACCTTCCAGTGGCTGCAGCAAGAGAGGATCTGAGTTGAGTTGGAGTTGAGGTTGTAGTCCTTTGGCCGCATAAAAACAAATATCAGTCATGAGTGCCCGTCGTAACGGTTGGCAGTCCTTGTCTTAACGTCTTGAATGCCGAATTTGTGGTTAGAAATTGTTACCAAAGTCTATAACCCTCACAAAGATTCCCATTTAGCCATTTGGCCATTTCTGTATGACTTTATCCTTCCTCTAGTTTTCCAATAGCTCTCCACCGCAGTTCTTCGGGCAAATTATGCCAGGAGGTCATTGTTACAAATTGGCTATCCCAGATTTCTTATCTCAGTAACACACGAAATTTACAGACTTGCTCTGAAACATGCAATTTTATGCTCCTTGCAGATTACGTATTTTGATTGCAGAGCCACTAATTTGCATACTGCAGCTTTTATTATGATTAATTCCCAAAATTAAGTGCACTATCACTTTTGAAAAACACTGTAGATTTTTTATTTCAAACCAGATTATTTATTGTTAGAAATTTCGTGCTAGATCTAATACACTGTATGTTTACCTTCAGATCTAGTACTTTATACCTTGTGAGAATTTGGAATAAAAATAACATGGAAGAGTTAGACATACGAATTTATATTTCATTTTGAGAGCAGTAGGAGATGGTATTTAACTAGTTAGATCAGTTTTAACTACACTATATAATTCGTTAATTGAGCCGTTTTTCTCTTTTATCTAAGAAAAAAACAGTAAATCTAAATTTAGAATATGACTCATAATTGAATATCGCTTTCTTCTTCTAATTTCATCAGTAGAGAATATAATGAAAATTATCATAAAATATTTTATTAAATCTTAAATGTTATATATTACACTAACTGAAAAGGTTAATCACGTCGACCTTGTTCAGATTTTAGACTTCGAAAGTATATATCTAAGCACCAGAATAGAAGCTCTTCTAAAATGAATAGGCTATTAATATTATCAATATTCCCATCCAAATTAATAAAATTAATTTGGATGGGAGTGAAGTTCCAGAAAGCGACATCAAGACACTTAAAAATGAAATACCATTTTTGTCATAGTTTATTGCATTTAAAATGGTTCAGTTTTGATCGATTTATAGTGATTAAACTTTAGAACGAATTATAAATCATAATTTGCGTTTATATAGCTATAGTACGTTTACATTTACAAAAGTATCATTACCCAATTACTGGAAGATATCGTGCTTCATTAGCATGTAGGGTTTATATTTATTTTAACTAACATTTATTTTAACTTTAAGCTATCTTTCTTGTCAAGCCTTACTTTCCCCTGGAATTGCCAATGCCAGAGTATGTAAATTTTAGTAGACGCGCAAAGTATTCAAATTTTTAGCAGAAGTAATTTTGAGTTAAATAGAAGGGAAACGAGTTTGTAGGTGTGCTTTCTTGATTCACGAGCGTGAAGGTTGCTAGGTAGAAATTTAAGAACCGCGTGTTTCGGCCTGTGAGCCTACTTCGGCAGTTAGTTGAATCGTTCAACTTCTTATTAAGAAAGTTTGCTGAAATCTCAGCTGTATCTTAGAACGCGGTTAAGTTAGTCACGTTTAGAGAGCCTCGTAGGTAGTGACTTGTTATTATTCATTTTTTGTTATTTATTTATTTATTTTTTGTTATTTATTTATTTATTTTTTGTTAATTAGTTATTTTTTGTTATTATTCTTATTTTTATTTAACCGCCGGGTCGGCGTAGTTTGTGAGCGTCAAGTGAACGCATCTGTAACTTTTAAAGTGGAATAAAAAGGGAGTTAAACCCTTCTTAAGAGTTTGTGTACTTTCCAGTTCATAGCAGTCACTACTATTGTTGCGGGCAAGTTGGGGCCGCGCAACACCACAAGCGCGTCCATGTCTCTTGATGTTCCAACAGAACCACCCTAAAGTTATGAATAACCATTCCTCTATTTTTGTAATAGATCTCTCGCAAGGTTCTTTCATTTTGGCAAGTTATATGAACTCATATCCTGAAAGTATGGCAGATATTCCTGTAACTCCCATCTCCATCATTGCAGGAGATTCGTAATAGCGCTTACATTATGATACCTCGCATTATAATGAAGGAAAGTGGGATTTTGTATTACTAGTAAGAGCCTTCTTCATCTACTGGGTGCTGGACGCAAATCATGTTTCAGTTAACAAATTTTTTCATCCCACATAATAGTGCGTGGTTTCATAATGCAAGTGCTGTTACGGAGCTGCTGCCACGTTAGCCATTGGGAAGTCCTGACAAATTCCAACCATACTTACTCAATATTAGTGCGTGTGACTATGACTTCCTTTTTAACTGAAAAAATAAACTGTTGGAAGGATCCATTACAACGTCGCAATGCATCCATTAGAGGAGAGCGCAAGTTACCTGTGCTTTAAGGTGGCCACTATGGGCAGCAACAGTTCAGAACTGAAGTACGAACCTATGCTGTACTACACCTTTCAGGAATTTGTCAGAAGATTATAGACATGACACGCGATTATACTTAATCTTTCAGAACTACCGACATGTTGCCATCATTTTATATCAAACCAAACAAATGTGGCCGTATTTGATTACTTAAAAGGGATCGGCCTTAGACTGGGTTTTGAGTCGTACATTATTAACACCTAGGAACTCCTCATAAACTTCATTTTATAATATATCTATAATAGATTATCAAACCTTTTTTCATAATATATCATCTTACTATTATTGCTTTGTCTAATTTTGTTATTACTATCTAGATGCTTATGGCAAAATCTGTGGCAAATTTGGACTGATCAAAATGTTTGGTTCTACAAACATCAAACTTTTCCGAAGACTTATGCGTTTCTCATTGGATGGCAAGTGCGGTTGCAACATTTTGAAACGTGAGTCTTTTAACATTATGTAACAGAAAAATGTTTAAACAAATAAGAACAAAGACCAGTTTTCATTGACAGTCTTTTTATTTTAAAATTCTTGATTACTCATGAGATATGTTCGTATTATCTTCTAAATTTTTGTCCTAATAAAATAAAAATGTCCTTTTTTTATGATCCCTGATATTGTATGAGAAACTTTGCTCACTTCCTCTTTTAAATGAATTCCTAGGGATAATATCCTAAGTTTCCTTTTGCTGTTTATGAATTTGGTATCTCCCTTGATAGATTATCAAATCGAAATAGCCTTAATGCAAAAGGTATTTCAGAAAAAGAAAAAAATAAGTCGTGACTTTACATTCATTGATTCAAATAATATTCAAGGCCTTTTGTGCTTCTTAATAATAAAGTATAGCAGTTTTTCTAGAACTTCACAGCTTCGGGAAAATCAGTACTCTTGTCGCGAATCATGTTCCTTATGACTCATTTTACAGCTTCCTCGAGTACGCATTTCAATTCACAAAGTCGATAACTTTTTCAGTGTCAAGCAATAAATCCCTAGCGCAGCGAAACTCCATTCAATTTCAAAATCATATATGGTTATAGTGGTTCAAGAGTGGGATGCCTCATCGTAAAGGTGCCGTAAATTTTGAGCAGGTCGACCACTGTTAGATAAGATAGAAATTTTTGTAAATATGCTCCTGCATAAAGGTGCATGCACATCCAAGATTATTTTTTTCGTGAAAAGCTATCTTCAAGGTGTGCGCACATTTATGCCGGATCACTGCTGCCTGCATCTTTATGAATATCGCTTTTTACAAAGAAAATATACGTTTACACAGATACGTTTACGCAGTCCACGTATAAAGATTTTGTCTTTTCGAATAGTGACTAACTTGCATAAAGATGCGGGCAGCTTTATGGGGAAAGAGCACTGTTGTAAAGAGGTATCTTCAAGTAGACCAAGGAAAAAAACTTAAAAATAAAATAAAATAATAAATAATAAAAAAAAAAAACGCTTCTTTCACATGCTTCAATCACAAACGCTTTAATGATATGAATGTAAATAATTTTTGACTGTGGCACTAACTGTGTCTATCTCTGATACTGCGTTCGAGTAGTAGAAACTATGCTTTATAGTACTTACAGATAAGGGAAACCATGAAAACAGAAAATCTTCAAATTTGAAAATGCAAAATCTTCAAACTTTCTTCTTGATATAAACACTTCCCCTAATATCTGATTTTCGCATAAAGTTTGTAAATGTATCACATTTTATTCTAAAATTTATTGCTAAGATTCAGTATTATAACTCAAACGATAATTATTTTAACGAAGTTTATTCGCATTCGAGCGAAATGCATTAACAGTTCTGCATTGTTATATTTCAGCTTCCCAAGAGTACCTGCTCATTACCCATGAGGCTGCTTTCAGGACAGATGGCCCTTTGCTTGGCAAGATATCACTCTCGATACATACTATTCTTGTACCAGGTGATAGGATTACCGAAAGTATTGTTCCGAATCTTTTGAAAGCCTGCCATCCCGAACCTTCTCCAGTTCTAGCGGAACCTCCTTATAAACCACCTCCTCCGCCCCCGCCTCTTTATGGACCACCTCCTCCACCGCCACCTCCTCCTCCCCCACCATTGTATGGTCCACCCCCTCCTCCGCCACCCCCACCTCCGTATAAACTTCCGCCTCCACCCCCTCCTCCTCCTCCCCCACCTCCTCCTCCACCCCCACCTCTTTACGGACCACCTCCACCGCCACCGCCTCCTCCACCACCTCTATATAAACTTCCTCCACTCCCACCCCCGCCTCCGCTCCCACCCCCTCCTCCACCCCCGCCTCTTTATGGACCACCTCCACCGCCACCTCCTCCTCCACCACCTCTGTATAAACTTCCTCCACTTCCACCACCGCCTCTTTATGGACCACCACCTCCGCCACCGCCCCCTCCACCACCACCGCCTCCCCCTCTGTATAAGCTTCCGCCTCCACCACCTCCTCCACCCCCGCCTCCTCCACCACCACCTCCTCCTCCACTCCCACCCCCGCCATTGTATGGTCCACCACCTCCTCCTCCGCTCCCGCCTCTTTATGGATTACCACCTCCGCCACCACCTCCTCCACCGCCTCCACCCTTGTATGGTCTACCTCCTCCGTTGCCGTTACCTCCTCCTCTTCCACTTCCACCACCTCTGCCTTTATATCCACCCATCCTTCCCCCCAAAGCAAAACCCTTACCTCTTTTGCCACTTCCTTTACCACCTGAACTCGCCAAGTGTTTGCTTCCTCAGACTTGTCCGAAGTGTCTACCTTTGGCGAAAGCAGAGCTCAGTGCAGCATACTGTTCTGCGGATTTTGGTAAGTACATGCTTCCCTACATTCTCCAAAAAGTTAGATGTCTTGGCTTTAGTTATCTCTCTTTGTTATCATATTTTAATTTTGATGAATTATTTTAATTTGCTGCTGCGTGTGGATTTTAAGTCAGATTATAACATAGGATGACCAATTTTATGGCACTAAAGGAAGATACCCAATAGAATATATCCAAACAAAGAACTGTTATTTTTATATCGTTTCGTTCTAATGCTGATATGAATTCTATAATGGAAATTTCAAGGCTTTATTCGCTAATGTTAGTACAGAGAAATTGGTATCATGTAAACCAATAACTTTCTTCTTTTCCCGAAAATCATTAAACAGCTTTATGAGTTAGGGAAATAAAACGCTTTGACAACATTCATCATGCATGGAATGATTTGAAAATATCCCTTGGCCCTACTTTAAACATATTTTATCTCTTAATAAATATTTATATATATAAAACTGTTTCTCATTTGACGTATCTCCCACCTCCGTCAAGGTGATCATTCACTTCAGGTTACGCAGAACAAATTAGGAGAGGTAAGACATTAAAAGCATTAATTCACGCAGAATTCACTTTTTAAATGCAAACTTACACACCTGTTTCTTTATAGATAAACTATATTTCGTGAGATTGACACACAATAACCTTTTTCGAGAAGAAAAATTTGGCATGCTGGTCTTCCAATACTATAATTCTTTACTATAAATACACTCTTTATTCTTTACTATAAATACACTCCTTAGAAAGTAGAATAAGGGTTTTGCTGAAGTCTTTGGAACATTTCTTGACTCATGTTTTTGAAACATATATTATAAAGCATAACGGAGTTTAATTTTCAATAAGTTTAATTTAAATAATAATATAAGTTTAATTTTCAAAATAGTCACAATATTTAATTTTTTAAATGTTGTGTAAAATGAATTTTTCTTGTTCATGGAATTTTTTCTTAGGTTTTAATACATTTAATTTATTTATTTATTCATTTATTTTCTTATTTTTAGCTTTGCTAGCCTTGCTCAATATTCCTGATCTCGCCTTGCTGAAACCAGGTAAACAGCATTTTTGAAATAGATGTTAATGGCATCATTCAAACAACATTCCATAATATCGTTCAGATTTTCGGTGTTTGTTACTATAAATAATTTAATACAACCGTTATAGGAAATTTAAAACTTTTTCACAAAAAGTTTTGAAGTAATTTATAAAAATCTTTATCCTTGAATTTTTTTTTTTTTTTTTTTTTTTTTTTTTTTTTTTTTAAATCAGATGATTGAGAATGTAGTAGGCAGATAGAATTAAGAAGAGGGAAAATTTATCAAAACCAAAGAGATAGTAACTGGTGCTTCCAAAATAAGGAAAATAATAACATATTCATCTCATTTATAATAAAACCATCTCATTCATAACCGATTGCCGACCCAACATCGTTGCAGAACGTTTACTCCTGCTTCCTGGTGACAAATGATTACCTCATTGTTTCCCTTTGCGTCCATAATTCCGTCCTCCCGGATTTCGACCGCGCTGGTGAAATGGCAGCCTGAAATCAGTCGTCGACAAAAGCTGTACTTCGATTCAGCTGATAACGCCGCGCTTGTGCGATAAATCAGTTATAAATAAGTATTGGTGTTGGTAATAATACCATACAAGTGTGTCAGTGCCAAGAAGCTAAATAAGATACTCAGTTAATTGTTTCATAAATATCAATAAATATTCATCCTAATATCAAAGAAAATATTTTAACTTCCCTGATGCTTTTAAGATTAGTTCTAGTTAACATTACAGACATCGGTCAATCTGTCTTTACGAATACCTTACAGACGTTTTTAGTCAATTTAAATTTAAAAGCTTTTTATTTTTTGATAAAATTTGGAAAAGAAATTTTTTAAATAAAATATAATAAAAATAAAATAATTATCTGTAGGTATTAAAGTGAACTACTATAATATTTTTAAAATATCCTTATTATTACTATCAAAGAACTGAACGCCTTCAAAAAAATCTTACCAAGCGAAACTCAAAATCATTGAAAAATTTAAGTTAACTGCATGAATTTTGTCAAAAGTCTTAAAAATGACACTTCTTAGATGGGAAAATATTTTTAGCAGATCTCTTTAATCTACGGTCCTCTGAATAACATGTCCCACATTCTCTATTACTTAGCCTGTATTTCAAGAATGTAAAAATTTGGGAAGTCTACATTTGTAATTTACTGTATTTAAAAATTTTTCAAAAATTCATACGCCAGGTATTGAAATTATTTCTCGAATTTAAAGCTTTTGATCTAAGAAAGACATTCGAAAACTAAGAGAATAATTTACTGATTAATTTAAGTTTTAAGTTATTTTGTTACAAATTCTTTAAAACGCATCAAAGTGAGTTCTTCCACCAGAGGGTCACCGGAAAAAAAAGAACCCGATCTATCAGAAAAAAATCTACCGAATACCAGAAAAGCCATATACTAGATTTTATTTTATCAGGGAGAGAGAAAAATTATTTAGTGCGACGATTTCGCGAAGTCACGTGTATTTATGCAGGATGTTCTACAGGATATTCAACTGAAAACGCAGTAATCTCAGACGACTGTCAGAAGATGTTGAAAAAGGTCTCTCACCTTGTCATAGAGCTACCATACGCCTGAAGTTGGGATTAAATACCTTATTTCCGGAGTCATTTGCAAAGTCATTAGGTTTATAGTTACATGTGACATGAAAAACATGCAGTACATTCATAAATAGGTTTAGACAATGAATAGGCAGGGTAAATAAGGCTTAAAATTGATAAAATTTTAATTCACAATTAAAATTTGTCAGTTAAAATTGAAATAAATTTCTAATCAAATTTATTTACTCATTTATGAATTTATGGATTAATTCCTCTCCTTAAATATTGAAATTTAGATTTGTATATAACTAAATACAGACAATTTGGGAGAAGAAAAAATGAAACTTTGCTATTTTCATATAAGTTTCAGTCAGAAATAAAAAAACCGCGAAAAGTGAACAGCTTAGTAATATTTTACAGATTAAAAGAATATAAAATTATGATCTGAAAAACAAAGTATGACACTTACTTCGCTGTATTCTTCTCATTGCAATTATATACCGTATATACCCGCGTATAAGTCGAGATATTTTAGACAAAAAAAAAAAAAAAAAAAAGACTTCAAAGTTGGGGGGGGGATCGACTTATACGCGGGGCCATAAAAAATTTAAAAGAATCGGAAGTTCAAAAATTTCTTTATATAATGCAGTTGTTTTCTTCCTGCACTCAAATTGGACGACTTATCAAATAAGTCACTTACCCAAGCAATAACTGAATAGTTATGAATATTTCAAAACACCTAAAAACGACTGTGGCTGTAATTCCGGGAGGATTGACATCCGTCATTCAACCTCTAGATGTCTGCGTCAATAAGCCCTTCAAAGTAAATGTTAGAAAATATTGGGCAGAGTGGATTAGTTCCGGTCGACCAACATTTACAAGGGGAGGCAACATTAAAAAGCCCGATATTACATTAATTGCTCAGTGGGTTAAAGATGCTTGGAACGAAATACCCTCTGAAATGATTATAAAATCATTTAAAAAATGTTGTATTAGCAATGAACTAGACGGCCCGGAAGATGATGCTGTTTTTGAAAGTGAAAATGACGACGAAGGCTCTAGTAGTGATTGTAACAATACAGAATTCGAGACTGAAAATATGTATGATGATGAGCCAATGACGACAGAAGAGTTCTATGAAATGTTTGGCGAATCTGACCATGAATCGGACGTTGAAGGATTTTGATTTTGTTTATTTACCAAGGTATTTTTTATCGTATATTTACTTTTTTTTCTCAGATGATTTTGAAAAAAAGTTTTCGAAGTTTCTCGATCAATTTCGGAAGTGGGGGGGGGGTCGACCCTTATACGCGGGTTTCTTACTTTCTACGAATTTTTTATGTCGAAGTGGGGGGGGGGGTCGACTTATACGCGGGTATATACGGTACTTATTTTTAGATTTAATTTGAACGGTACTTCCTCTGACATTATCACATAATTTGCTTTTTAAATTTAAAAAGCAAAACCTAATTCTGTTTTCGTCGTGTATAAAGTTACATCCGAATTTAAAGAATTACGGTAAAAATTTGGTTAATAATCAATTAATATAAAAAAATTATGAACTATTTTTAAATATTTTTCTAGAGGTAGGTAATTTCTACTTTGCATATTTTATCTTCATTTCACGTATTAAAAAACATAGCAAATACACGGAAACTATTTTAATAAATTTGTTTTCAGCCTTATATTAGTGGCATTTTACTTGCACCTGATTTAAAATCATAGATGATAAGTTTTCTTGATATTAGACATCTCAGTATTTTTTAAAATAAAAATGCGTTTTTTCAAGCAAAAACCGCCTGTTTGCATAATTTATGATTTTGGCTCTCTTTAGCTTCTGTGGCGGCTTTAAAAATTTCTTGACTTTTATGTGAAGGAGAATTGATTTACAACAGTCTGGATAATATGCATATTTACCATACTTATTCATTATTTCCTACTTTTATGTTATAGTCACAAATAGTATGTCCTATTATTTTTACAGCAGCCAAAAATTCTTATGATGGACCATCCTGTTTGAAGTTAAGTGCTAAAATCCTTTACGATATATCCAAAGGTTTGGACCCCAAGTTGCTGAACCTCGAACTCCCGCTTTTACTGCCAGTGAACTGCATATGCCTTCCAAAAATAAAAGGTACACTATTTACAGTTTTAATTATTTGTAGTGATCAAACGATTGGTGTCTATCCTATGAAACTGGGCTAACCATATGTATAGTTTGGAAAGAGAACAAACAATATATATGGTTAGCCAGTTCCAAATCTTTCTTGTTCTCAAATATGGTTTTAAAATATGTTTATTCTATGAATATAAACAAATGGGTGCGTGTGCTTTTCCTTTCGTATTCTTTCGACTGATAAATTTCTTGAAAGTAATTAAGGTCTTTTTCCCAAAATGGACCAAACGTCTTTAGGAAAGGCGAAAAGTCTCTTTATACTCACTTTAAAATTATCAAGCAAAAGAACTTACATCCTATGGATACTAAACGTGTGTGTGATCTACTAAATGTTGGTAGCATAGTGATATGTGTCTCTACGTTCGATTTCTCATCCCTGTTAGACGGGTCTACGGGTAGCTGCCGTTGTGTAACCTACGTTTGGCTTTCTTTGAAAAGCTAAAAAGCTATTATTCCATGTGCAGCCACAGTTTTTGCCATTTCTCTCATTAATATTTTGTTCTAAAAGCACTGTTAGTTATATTAGAAAAATATCTTGTCAATTGAGTTGCAAAAATGAAATAAGCCGTCAATAAGCTTCACATCGTAAGTTTTAGTTACCAATCAATTAGTTGATGCTTATAACAATGAGAATTTTATATAATATTATTTAACATTCGTTCATTGTTTCCTTCAAGTCTTGAAATCAATTCTGCCTCCCCTCCTATCGACTTGATTATCTTTATTTTCCCTTATAAAAGTCTTTGCGATGACAATATAATATTCCACAGGAAAAGTTTTAAAATTCTGTGAGGTGCTTTTTAATTAGTGTCAGATTTTTATTACATTTCCTTGTTCAACTTTCAAACTAATCGTCGCAGAATTTTCATCTTTACGTTATGGGATAAATTGAAAAAGAAACTTCCAGTTGAACTTCATAAGGAAATTTTAACGAATTATGGCGACTATCCAAAATTCATTCTACCTTTTTCAGCTGTCATACATAGAAGTGCAGTTCCTAACAAGAAATATATTTAAATAATAAATTTAAACCTTCACCGTCATCAGCATCGTGATTTTTAATGTTGGTCAGATAGGATTTTCTGTATCGAATAGTGATTATTATGATGAAAATAAAATTTTTTACAAGAAAGCATGAAAAAAATCATATAGCTGAAAAATAAATTTCGGCTGAATACTACGATTTAGCAAAAGATATTGTCAGAACTCCTCGGAAATTTGAATTATATAGTCAATGTAAGAAATCACAGAGCCACTCAGTCTCTTTTAGTTGAGATTTGATTTTAGTCCATTAGACAATTTCAGTTATGGCATATAGCAAATATAAGCCTTTTAATGAAAGCAGTTTCTATAAATATATAAAAACGGGGCAAAATAATTATCAGGCAGTGGAGCATATTTAATATTTAAGAAATCTGAGAGTACATGTCCCACTGCTGTGTCAAAAGTTCTTTCACTCATTCACTAAAAACAGTTCAAGGAGAATGTCCTCATAACAGTGCTCCGTCATAAAGTTATAGTGTTCTCCAAAACAAAATCCTTCTCAAGGATGCTCTTGCATAAAAGTGATCGTATCTTTAAAAAGACGAGTTTTGAACTTTAAGAAAATTTAACTCAATTAGCACACTCTTATGCCGGGGCACTGCTACGCAAGTAGGAATTTTATTTGCTTTATTAATTAGAGCAGAAAACGTAAACATTACTTGTACGCTTATGGAAAAAGGAAGCTCTCTTATGTAGTTTTTTTCCATCAGTAAAACTAATCTTCATAAGGGTGCGGGAACTTTTATGCAGGACACTCTTGTAAAGGGTCTTGGATTGGTCAGCAGTGGAGGACTTTGGTAAAGACTTTGGCATCTTTATGATGGGTCACCGTAATGACACGGTCCCTTTGAAGGACATACAGTCTCTCACTGCTCTTCTTATAAGATGACTTCATAGAGCATCTGGAATTGGGGGTGTCAGATACAGCGATAAAAAATATTCATATAAAAAGTCCAGCGGACCACGTGAGTGCCCTGAAAAGCCTGAATCTTTGAATTCCATTTCTGCTTATTATTGCTTCGAGCCTCTCTAAATCATGCGCATAACATGATAAGTGTAACTACATGAATAAAAACCATTTGTGCGATTTTTTAAATAATATAATTTTCAAAGAAAGCCGTTTCATTACTGAAAAGTGCTGGACTAAAAATAAATTTAAACAGAAACCTCATGAAACTTCTATATACAGAAAGAAACTTCTTATTTTTATGTCCATATCGTGTGCACTTTCGCAAGAAATTATTTTGAAGAATAAATATTCAGTGCCCGCCAAAAATATCGCAAACGAAACGTCGAGGAAAGAAAACGCAAGCCGAAAACGCAGTTGAACAAAATATCGTGGGAGAAAAGAAAACATCACAGTTTTAAAACTTCGTCATAGAAAAATATCATAAATATCATGGTAAAAAATAAAGCACCAACAAATTATCGCATGACGATACCATCACAGACGTGTGTTTTGCATACTTAAAAAGTTGTAAATGTATACTCCCATACATTGTGAGCGTTTTAAGGAATGAGGAATATTTTCAGCAAAGTGAAAGAAAACAATTTTAATATGAGTAATCTCATGAAGTTGCTTGTCTTCCCCTTTCCAATCTTTTTTCGAATATAATTTTTCATGAAAAACTACCAATACGCTTTTATAAAAGAAATCGATTAAATAATGATATTTAACAGTTAACTGAATAATTTAAAATTTAATTAACTGCTATGCGTTTCTTATCAATTTTCAATTTTTGAAGGCTTAAATTTCATTTTTCTTTTCTGCAAAAATTTATTAGATAATTAAAAAAATATCAAAAAAAAAAAAAAATTTCCTAATTATATTTTGTCCTCACGTGTTATTATGGGAACATACATTTACAGCTTTTAAGCTCATATGTTATTAAGGGAACATACATTTACAACATTTAAATGTACATGTTTGTAATATTATCATCATGAGATTACTTCTAGGTGTTTTAATTTTTACCATGATATATTTAGGACGAAGTTTTAAAACTGCGATTTTTTTAACCGCTTTATTTTTTATCACAATGTTTTTGTACCAGGATGTTTTAGAGCTACGATGTTTTCTTCTTGCTTTCTTTTCTCCCACGATTATTTTGTATGAAGACATTTTCATCTTGCGTTCTTTTCTCTGCGACGTTTAGAACCGCGATGTTTTTGCCTCTAAGCAAATTTTGATCCTTCAGTACCTTAAGATAAAATATACCACATATCATTCGCGCAATAACTCCGAATTATAAGCTGAGACATTTATGAATTTAATAAGTAGCACAGATTTTGCTTACTAAATTACTTCTTTCACAATAAAAAGGCCTGCTTTTCACGAGCTGTAGTACTTCAATTGGAAGTCATATACCTTATATTACAAAAAATGCATGTTCTGCGTCAACATAAAACTTTTAATAGTCTTGGATAGAGATTCGACTCAGGAACCCGAGCCTTGTGGCCACTTATGAATCCACCCATCTGTGAGGCACCTTAAGAATCCACCCGCGTATTATTAATCATTACACGTTTCCTGGAATGTTTCCAGAACAAATGATAAAAGAACTTCTTCAAAACATCAAGAAATGTCGAGATAAAAGAATACATCTATAGGATCAGATCAATTTAAAATGTGTTTTCCTGAAAGCAGTATGCCTGGAATAATTAAAATGTTATGTCAAAAACTAATTGAAAGCTATCTTTGAACTAGCACTCATTAGCTTCGCAAGTAAGCTGTCTGAGAGAACTATATCATTTATTTTTTTAGCAGATGCAAACAGGAAAGATTGGTAAAATTCCCTATTTTCATCTTTTTAATGAGGCTTTATTTGGAATATTATGGAAAATAAATAATAAAACGATATACATATATGAGTGTGCGTGTGTAAGATATAAAATATGAAAGAAAATTACTAATTTAGTAATATCCTTTTCATTTCATTTTAGTCCTTTTCATTTTAATTTGATTATAATCCCTTAAAACTAATTAATCTGAAAATTAATCCCAATTATGTCATCTGCAAAGCGACGGCTCTTTTCCAATCACCATTCAAAATTTAAACAAGATAAGAGATTTTAATTTAAACAAGTTTTTAATTGAAACAAGACTATCACTATAAATATGCGAGCTGCTGAATATGCATTTGCTTTCTGTGTTGTCTCTTGCTGAGTTGCAGTCGAAAAGCCTCATCTCATTTCATTCGTTAGAACTTGGCGATATTTTTTTACGTTGGGATAAAGACCGCAGGTTAACGATCCTGTCGACTCATCTAGCTGTAAAGATTTATCTCCATGTTAGACGAGAGCTTTAAACTTTAACTGTTATTCCATGATATTTTTGATACACATCTTCAATCACATATCATTTATGGGTGCGGTAAGCACCCCCACAATTTTACATAACGTATTACATCTTTAAGCGACAGAAGATATAATCAAGAAGACACGCTCTAGCAGGGCAAGAGAGAGTAGAAAAATAAGTACGTATTTAACAAATAAGATTATATATAAAACTGGTCTCTTTACTTAAATTTTGAACGGTGACTGGATAATAGCCTTCGCATTGCAGATGATATAAAGTGGATTAATTTTCAAATGACACTATTAGTTTCAAGATAGGAAAACCATGCATGCTCTTGCTAAATTACAGTTAGTATTTTTTTTCCTTGTATCTGACATATATAGAGAGCCTATATGTACTTCATATATATGATAAAGAAAGCCTATATACAGTGTACTCGAAAAATATCTGGCCAAAAAACAAAAGCAGATAGAATACCTCGAAACAAGTTGAGTTTGTAACGGGATGTGTGATACAAAATGGCACGTTAATGTAATACAGGACGCTCTTGAGAGAAAGACGCGTAAATTACCAGTCCGCTCGGATTCAATTAGTACGGAGCACTATGCGAAAGTGAAGTTCACTGACATGCATTTTATCTATAGAGCTGGGAGCTGCGGTTCAGACATAGCAAAGCAAGGATACAATGAACTGAACAGAGGTACGATGAACGATTCTCATCGACCAGCTTTAAGCAACTGCTTTGTTTTCATCTGCAACTCGACAGATAAAATGCATTTCGGCAAACTCTTCTTTATGATAACGATGCATATCACTCGAAATTCACATGGAGAATAATACTTAACGCCAACAAAATGCTTTTATCTCTTCCATCCAATAACACTCTCTACCACTTCAATGAGCTATTTGGGAACACATATTCCATTACAAAATCTGTTTATTTTGGTCTGTATGTTTATTTTTGTCTTTTATATTTTTGCAAATATATGTTTTCCGAGCACCCTGCATGAAGTCTTTCTCTCTCTCTCTCTCTCTCTCTATATATATATATATATGCTAGAAAATAAATATATAGAGACTTTCGATTACATTTGCTGCCAAGTTGAAATCAGTTTTTCATAATTATTAGAAAAGCTAACATTTTTAATTGAATAAAATAACTTTAAATACTAATATTTTTATGGTGAAATATGTAGTTTTGAAAAATGTCTTTCTCAAATCTAAGGGAGAAGAAACATCTGTGTTTCTTGGTAAACTTCAAAATTTCCTCCGGCAACACTGCGTGCTGAGAGGACTATGAGTGATCATGTGATTTAAAGGTAGAGGGGATGCAGAAGGTACAGTCCATAGTGTAGTACATAGATCTGAAATCGTTTGCTGATGCAACTCTCAAAGTAAAAACATCGACGCGCAAAGTTTGTAGGGAATAAAAGTGTTTCATATTCATCTCGAAATGGACGCACGAAGAGATATATGGTAGAGCGAGGAACAGCATTGCTATTATTCAGAATCATCAGCTTATTAAATTTCGAAAAAATGCAATTCCGGATGACCCTAAAAAGCATGGATGCAATTTCAAGAACTTACATGGAATCGATTTCATCCAGCTTCTGACTATGCTCTTCCTCTATTAATCAACTATCTCTTCGCTTGATTTTAGAGATAATTTCTCCGTGAAATCTGTGACACTTCCTGCCTGCAGAAATTTGGCATGCGTGCATGTTTGACCCTTTTTATATTCGCGACTTATTTTGAGGATACACGCCATTTCAATTTCTACTCACCAGCGCATGTTACTCCCCAGAAAGCATTTCACGTTTTCTTAATCGATGCCATCTTGATATCACCTGATCGCTCGAATTCACGTGCTCCTCTGCACACTGTTTCCAGATAAACAGTGTAGTGTGAAATGTTGACACGTTGCTATGCATTGAAATTTTATTTCACTGAAATAGTTCTACTCTTTACTAAGTCATATTGAATACTGAATTTAAACGGGGAATTATCCTTTTAAACAATTTATACGGAAAAAAAGTACTTGGTTACCTTGTGCTAAATAAACGTTTAATAGATAGAGGTTTGTAAAAATAAATATCATGTGAAAGGGGTCATCGAACTCATTCTCAATATTTATTAAGAAGATTTATATGCTGTTTCAAATTGGAAACCCGTATTTCTTGGGCCTGTTACAGGACCTGCAGTTGTGATTCTGCTCGGCACTTATGTTGCATTACCAGCACCTCCTGCTGCCCAGCTGACAAAAGATTTCACTCTAATTCTCCTACCGGCACCTAGCAGTATCACTCTTCCAAGCTGCCTTCCTGGCCCACCTGGGCCACCCAAACCTCCTCCACCTTTACCGGGAATAGCCTGTCCTACATATATGCCAGCATCGTGTCCTACTTGTGTTCCTGCATTAGATCCTCAGCTATTTTCTCTTTTCTGCACTGCCAAATTGGGTAAGTATTGAGGGTTTGTTTACTTTCTGGAACATAATGCTTTAGTGATGTTAAGATTCTCATCCTTTAAAAAAGGCGTTTACACATTATTAGGACGATTTCGGGGGAATTAATGTTTCAAATTTAAAGAGAAGTTTAATTAATGTTTAAAATGTAAAGAGGATTTTTTAGATGTTAGATCTGATTCTATTTTCTGGACAAGTCAGCATCGTGATTTCCATTGATAGAAGAGCTTTTCGCAAATTTTCCAGGAGTATTTTTTCTATTCCTTTTCCAATACTTTCCAGTGTCTATCAAATAGCGGTGGGTTTGCGCTGAGGAAGAGCTTCTTTCAAGAAACCAGAGGAACCAGAGTCTATAGGTGACATTTCAGGGGACTTCTCAGGAATATGTTCCTGTATCAGTCTTCATTTTTTGAAGGAATGGAGCTACACTTTACGAAGTATGACCTGTTGCTTTGTTTTGATGAAGTTTGACTCTCTGAAAGTCATTAAGAAATGGAATTTATTGTAAATATGGGATGTAAAACTTTATTTTGATAGTATGTTGAGTTGATTTTAATATTTTTCTCCATTTTGAATATTTTTAATTTCTCAGTTCTTATTACTTTTGATTTCCCACGTTTGGAATGAAGGAGTGAGCACGACCTCTTTAGCTAAATGGTCAGCAGTTTCATTTCCTTCGATTCCATTATGTGTTTTTACCTACACGAGTTGGACGTATGATATACCTGGTATTGTATAATTACTCTCGGATGTCTATTACGAGAGGAAAGGTGTAGCGAAGATTTAGGATTGCCAGAGGAGATGATTTGCTGGCAGAGTAGATAACTGTATATGAATGATTTTCTATTGTGGTTTGCTCATTGATCCTTAAGATGGCCAATTCCTCCGTCTAGAAGACGCTATTGAACTGTTGCATGTGTCCTTTCCAGATATTTTTTATTTTATGATCTTTGTATTGGGCACAGCACAGCCAAATACTTCTTCCGTCATTGAGCCACCAGTACAGAATACTCGTGCATCACACAGAATGAGGTGGGCTCTTGTGCTATTGACATATATTCCATGTCCATTCTAACCTAAGTGCAGTTGATTGAGGTATTTCTGATGTTCGTAGAATGCTGGGCAATATATAGTGTTATGAAAAGCTGCACCTTTGCGTAGATGTAGGTAAGGAGTGATGATGGCTTCCTTTTCAGCTCGTAAGTGCGATGGGTACAAAGGCGCGAGTAGTATTACGGCATTGCTGGTTGTACTACAATATCACTTGCGTATATTTAGCGCAAATGAGCGTTGAATCTTGAAAAGATGCTTCGGTTTTCGACTTAGAGTGGACCGTATGGCTGCTGCATACGGTTTTATCAAAGGACGATTTTATCAAAGACTGTATAGTATAGGATATTGCTGACGTGCGGGTTTTACCCCTAGTTATGAACTTATCTTATTGTGTTACGCTTTGATCGAAGCTTTATTGTATTACGCTTACTGTAACACGTTACTGTAACACGTTAAATAATGCCTCTAATTATTCTTAAAGTTACAATCTTCTGAAAATTATCTAAACAGATATAGAATATCAGAATAGGTATGGAAAATGGTCCATTATGTTATGATCCCATGCCTACTTTTTTTTTTTCTTTTGGAAACAAATTTTTTTCCTTAGCTCCTCAGAAAGAAGGCTTTTTATTTGGGATATAATTATTACGTCTTGAGTGAAACAGTTCCCATTAATAAATTTTCAATAGCCTTCCTATTTTTCATCAAGCATATCAGTAATTAGGTTAAGAAATTTGGTGATTTGAAGCAAAAATCTAGAATCTGTATATATAAAAAGAAACTCATCTCCAACTTTTTATAGACATTTTTATACACTATATCCGAAAAGTCCTTACCCGGCCTTTAATTTCGCAACCATTGGTCGTAAACATATTACTAATTGAAATAATATTTGAAAATAAAACCTAAAAAAAAATAAATAAATAAAATCTGAAAGCTTTTAGTATTCCCAAAGGGGCGTTTTTTTTAACGTTTTGTGTGTTATCGCACTTAAACCACATAAAATTCAATTCAACAGCAATATCACAAAATATTTAAGAACAGCAGATGTTTAGAATTTCCTATAGAAAATCTCCCATGCTGGAAATAAAAATGTTTTTTTTTTTGGTACAATGCTCTCATTGTTTGCTTTGGAATCATTGAGATTGTGAATCAAAAATTCGTTAAAGTTTTACGAAATGTGAAACAGGAAAAAAAAAAAAAAAAAAAAAATCGAAATTCAGGAGCCCATGTTCGGATGGATGATTACGTTGTTCCAAATTTTATGGTTCTAGATACCGTCATTGTTTCAGAATGCGAAAAACATACCTACATTCATGCACATTCTTCTTTATTTAATTTCTTTTAAAATAGTACAGGGCGATAATATTTGGTGTTTACATTGATTCAACGAAAAATCTCGTTTCCAGACTAATAGATCTTCTCCTTTGGGCTAAAATGATTGACTTCGTACGGCAAGAATTCATTAAATATTTCATTTGAAAAAAATTTGATTTTTGACGCCATTTTCAATTTGCCTAAAAGAGTCAATTAATAAATATATCAAAGTAATTACGGGTTGATTTTCCTTCCTAAATGCCATTTAATGAGATTCTTTTTTGAGTGCTAGTACCTTTTAGTTAATAATTTTTTTTTTACTTTTGGAAAGTATTTTTATACAAGTTTATAAGTTTTGAAAGCCTAAAAATACGTTATAAACATTCTAATGAAATGTTATTATTTCAGAATCATAATCTCGTAATCGTACAGTAAACAGTAAACCAGTACCAGAGCTCCATTTATATGATATATGGAGCCATACAACATTGAATACTCTATAATATAGCCATACAACATTGAGTATTCTAGCACTAGAGAGAATCTATATTAAAATCTAGCAATCACACAGCCCAAATCAGACTTGATAGGACTTCGATACGGTCCCTGCCGAGCTAAACGTCCACCGATGTTTCTTCTCTTGTAAACGCAGTTTCCTCCATATTGTCCACTTCCAACGTATGGGCAAAGCTCTGGGCCAAAGCTCTGGCCAGCTCTGGGTCGGAAGCTCATAATCGTACATTGCACAGGAAGGGAGGATCAGATCCGTATCATCGAACATCCATTACGCGATTTCCACCATCCTCCTGAGGCAGGCACAAGGAATCTGAAGCTCCAATTGTATACTCTTTCTTCTAAGTTTACTATTACATAGCCATCATACTGTCCTAGACAGACTTGACAGTACCCTTTTAAGGTCCCTGTCGACGCAGCGCGGACCACTATAGAAACAGTGGTTCTCTGCATAAGCAGAAGAGCTCATTCATGCATTGCTGCCCCTACCCCACGTCGAGGGAGGACCTACAGAGGAGAAAATAAAGCAACAGTAAAAATAAAAATCGTAATCGCACAAAAAATTTATTAAAATACAAATATCATTTTTATTTTAGACATAATATAATATTAATTGGTTACTTGCCAATACGAAAGCCTGCCAGTGTTTTTTTGAACACGAATTCTGTAAAATTCTATGAATAAGATCCCTATTTTGAAACAAAATTCACTGAGCAGTATTTCTCACAATAATCTGCATAGAATTGCTTATCACTTAATCTCCTAACAACAGAAACCTTTTCCTAAATTTATATCGTATCTTTAGCTACGTACACATGTAAATTTTTCATTCTTCAATTTGTGTACGGCCCCTAAATATGATACCTGATTTTAGTATCAAATATCTCAACAAAATGCCAGTTGTTGTCATACACGAACCAAACGTTATTTATTTGCATAGTTATGTAATATTATGTTCTAATTGAGTTCATAAGAATAATTGTAACGTGCAATGAATGTAGTGTATTTAAGTTATGCGATATTATGTTCTAATTGCGTAATATAATTTATGTAGTATTTTATGGTACAGTATTGTTTAACAGTAACATTTTCTATTATGTTCTAATTGAGTTCAAAAGAATAATTGTACTGTGCAATGAATGTAATGTATTTAAGTTATGCGATATTACGTTCTAATTGCGTAATATAACTATGTAGTATTTTATGGTACAGTATTATTTAACAGTAACAATTTATATTAGCAGTAATATAAGTAATATAATGAAACAAAAGTAAGTGTTTTGCTTTTAGGAAACTAATATTGTAATTGAGAATAATATGTGTATCAATATTTCAACTATGTTTTGCTTGAGTATTATGTTCCTTTTAAGTAGTAACTGGTATGGTGCATGAATAACCTTGTGCATTATATTAAGAGGTAATGATTAAGTATCATGTTTTATAAAGATTTAACGTGCAATTTTTCTGTATTACCAATGTTCTATGTTTTCGTATGTCCAATGTTTCTATGCAAATTCATGTTAAAATTAAGTATATATGTATACTCAATTAATGTAAAAAGCTCTGTATGGTATAGCATGCAAATATATAAATAATTGTATAAGTATCTGTCAAAAGGTTTGAAAATTATGAGTAAGCACATCGTCTTAGCCCAATTACAAAAGTCCATTTCAATGTGTGCGGTATATATGAGTGGTATTTCGTATTTTCAGCCATTATAATGTAATATTGCCGTGTGGCGGTGGTGCTATGAAGTATCACAAAGCAATCTCTTGCTCTACTTAGCAAAACGTTAACATATGTATTGATAAATGTATATGCAATGACTGATTATGTCGTTATTCATTATCAATGTTTACATTTTTGTATAATATTTTCTTAATTAAGTTGTTGACACAAATTAGTTAATTGTAATATTTCTATGTAGCATTTTGTGCCTCTTGAATTTACAAAGCATGAATGTACTTGAAGGATTTAAATTTAAAACGGTAACATGTAAAAATGAGTAGCCCATATTCAGCAGAATAATGTATAAAACTGCTGCTACTCATTATCAATAACTGCAATTTGTATTTGTAATCTTTTTGTATGACATATTTAAGTGTAATTGTAAGACTTATTTTTAAAAATAGGTAATACGCCAAACACGCGTAGCCCATAATCTGTACAAATTGTTAATACTCTTAACAGGAGTTTACATGTGTATGTGTTTGTGTATATGTAATGGTAAGTTCAAGTATTTGTAATGTATCCTTGCAGCCATCATGTATGATTTGAATACATAATGCATAAGCGTACTTGTAGAATTTAAATTTACAAATGTACGAATTTGAATTTCAAATGTATACAAAGTGAATAGGCCCTTAATTTGAAGAATAATGTATTAATTGTTATAACTCATTTTCAATGTCTGCATATTTGTATTTTGTAATTTAATATCTAAACAGCATGACATATATAAGTGCAATTGTACGATTTATATTTGAAAAGGTAATTTGTCAAATACGAGTAGCCTATAATCCGCACAAATTGTTACTACTCTTAACCCAAAATTTTGCATATGTATGTTATTGTAATAGACCTATTGTTTGGCGGATAACCAGGTATCTTTAATGTCATAATTCTATAATCTTATTGTGATCAACTATGTAATTGTATGTTAACCTATGTAGAGATTCTGCCCTTGTTTGGCACTGTACTTTTTATTCCTGGAAACAAATTAACACTGGACCCGGCATTTTGGCTTAGAGTATCCCTCGGGAGCACTTTGGTCGGCTGGACTGCTACCCGGATGAATAGGGTGCTGGGTCTGGGCGTCTGGTGCGAGTCTCACGTGTGGCCTTATTCTGGCCTTGCTCTGGATATTGGAGGACGTGGCGCTAAACCAATTAACCATAACGGTAAAGGGATGGTGCCCACGTCCCCCTAATCCTAATCCTACGAGTATAAAAATTTCTTAAATAAGTACAGAAATGTATAAAACGTATAAAAAGTTAAATTTCGTAATCTTTATAAAATTAATTTCTTTAAAGGTAAAAATACAAAAACATGAGTACTTGCGTCATTTAAAGCACTTTCATATTATATATGTCTAACGTACATGTCTAGCTTATGACCAATGGTATGACGAACTATTACGAAAATAGAGCCCTAGTAAAGACTTTTCTGGATACGGTGTATATCTACTTGTACAGTGAAGAATTTTTTGCTTACTTCTTAAAGAATTCCTAAATTAATACGTAATTTTTATAAAGCGACTTATGGATACTTCATAAAAGTTAACATTTCATAATAGAACAGTGAGATATATATTTAATTTTACTCGAAAAGTGATTTTTTCGAATCTAGCCGTCTATTCAAATATACTTGTTGTGTTACTTCCTTTGATGTGGAAAAGAATTTGTTTCTGTAGTATTCTACAAGCACACAGTTTAAATTATAGATAATCAAAATCTTATGTTCAGTTTCTGTATTATTCTATGCTTTATATTCCACACGCCTGAACAAAAAACATGAAGAATTCGTATTAATTTTATATCTCATTTGTCTTTATTGTCAAGTATAGTAATCTCAACTTATTTCTTTCCTTAGGTTTAATTACGGAACTTTTGGAGGCAGGTAAGGTTTTTTTTTAATTCTTTTTAATTTTTAATAGTAAATAATGTTACCTTTTTTTTTTTTTTTTTTTTGATGAAAAAAAGGAAGCAAGTAAAATGTAATAAGGGGGAGAAAGTTGTTATTGAAAACATTTCAGGTAACACTTATCAGAAGGTATTTTGCCTTTGAATTAATAAAAATAAGTTTTTTTAAAAGATGCATCGGAAAATAACCTTTCTTAAATTCCATACTTGATCTTTTTTTCCTTAATTTATCTCGGCAAAATGTTCTGCAAATAGAATAAAACCGTGATCGGAAGTAAAATTACACAAATGAAAAATAGAAATGCTCTACTAAGTGCCTTTTTTTGGTAAATTATATATGGCTTTAAATTTCAAAGATTAAAATGTAATACAAATTAAGGAGAATATTTTAAGCCTTTATAGCAACAAACTCAATGCAGTCAATTTTCAATTATACGCTACCAATTATTTTTTACAGCTATTTAGTAACTGACTTAACATAAAGCGCTCCTTTGAAAATTACGCTTTCCCCAAGCCGCTTAAAGTTAATACATTATAATGTGTCCAACAACGGCCGAGCGGTAAGGACGCTGAACACTGGTAGTTCGGTCCGAGGTTCAATCCCGTGAACGGGCTGGTTGCATGGGCGTTTTCGTGGTTTTCCCCATGTGTAAACATGTATAGAAGCCAGTTTCCCTTAGAAAGGCCTCCCTTTAGACAGATAGCCCTCGTGTGCCTTGCCATCATTAAATAATCAAATCCATTTTATAATGTATTTGCAGAAAATACTTTATGATATAATGTCAAAAAGCTCAATGCGTGCTTTGCAATTATAAGTTTTAGATTATTCAATACTCACACAGTTAATATTTTACAATATTATCTTAACGTTAATTTTATTATGAAATTTTCAAATTCTCAATTAACCGGCGTCTCTGGAATTTGGACTGAGGTCGGATAAATTATTGGCCAATTTATGAGAAGAATCATACAAAATAATATTTATAGCTGTAAATAAAATCTAGAACGCGTGTATATGCATTACATATAAGTATTTACTAAGAATTTATTTACCTTGTTAAAAATGACTTTTTAAATTTTAATTCTTGTTTTAAAGTAAAACTTTTCCACTTTTTCATAAAGATAAAGTTGAGGAAAACTGAATTATTTTACTGTTCTATATGTAAGTTTTATATGTATATTTATTATAACATCAGTAACTTCATTTACGAAGTTTTAGCAATGGGCTTTCTTAAAGACTATTTTCCGAGTATGTTGTTTTCTAAATTTTGTTTTGATTTGTTTTGCTTATCCGCCATTTGCTTACTGTAAGTTTTCTAGTTTCTTACGTGTCTAATTTAGAATTCCTTTGTTATGAAAGAATTCGGACAGTTTTAGATTCATTTCAATAAGAGCAACTGTTACCTGAAAGGCAATGAAACAGCCACTAGCTGAAGCATTAGTTTTCGAAACTGTAATTAACAGTGAACTTATTTTACTTTCTGGTAGAAATAGCGCATTGTCTCTAAATACAGTGCATACGACACATTTTACTAGAAATGGTAATGAAACTTTTATTCACGAAAAATGATCTTGACGAAAATTAGTCCCTAGCTGAAGCTGCATAAAGGGAGATCATTCGTATTCAAGAATTTAAAAAACATTATTCGAATTTGCTTAACTAATATGGTTATTTTAGAACCTTCTTTCAAAGAAAACTTTGCAAAAAAGTAATCAGTAAATTTATATGCTCAGATGAATAAGCATGTTGTCAAATTTTATCATAATTATTCTTAAATCTAAAATTTGTATATATATTTTACAGCTCCTCTCGTTCCTACTTTAGCCGCAAATCCTGTGGTAAAAATCATCTGTAAGTAGCATAAAACATACTTTCTTACTATCATAAGATCTGTTAAGTTTCTTAAAGTTTTGCATAAATGTCATTTGCACTATGAAGTATCCATTTTAATGTTGTATCGTGTAGTAACATAACTTCTGAAAGTGTTCAAGACATTTTATATTTTTATGTATTTTTAAAAGCTGTTTTGTGATGCATTTATTATTTACTTGTAGTTATGCGTTTAAAAATTACTGTATTCTTACTAAATTGGGGCAAAATTTTCTTTGTTGTTTTTTACTTTTATATGGCTTCTTAATTTTTAATTGTTCATTACTAACTTAATGTTTATATGTTTATTTACCTAGTTTTATTTTTTGTTATGCTATTTTTATTTTTATTCAGTCATCTAATTAATTAAGGTAAGTTTTCTGTAGTCAACAGAACAGAAGATATTGTTCTAATGTATTTTTGAAAATCAGCCTTATCTGTTTGACAATTAAAAAATCAAAATTTAAACCCATTGCACCCTTTTCATCTGAAAATGAAGAAACAGCTTAGAGAATTTCGACAAGCAATGTACTCGAAAATATATTGACAGATCTCCTAAGAATGTTTCTAAGGATAATCGGAAAATTTTGGCTTTATCTTGCAACAATATGGAACTTCAATTCTGAATCTTCCTGCAAAGTTTATTTCAAAAGCTCATAATATATAGCATTTACTGGGAAACCACTTAATTTTAGAAAACGAGATGGTCTAGACTTGATAACTGATTATAATCGCAATTTAGATGGCCTCTACCGGTTCTGGTTGCAGCTTATTCAGCCATCTTCACTGTTTTGGCTCAGCAAAAGAAAATCTAAACATAAGAATTCATATTTACTTTCATGAATTACTATCAACGTTATCTCATATTTAGCAATGTGGTCTTCAAGCACGCGAAACGCGCTCTCCATTTACCCTCTAAAACCTTCCTTTAACTAGTCTGTTCTTTCTACCTCATTTGAAAGCCGCGCCAGCTACAAATGTACATTCTGGTAGAAGAAAATGAAGTCAATAGGAAATAATATTAATATAAATTAACTAGTTAGAAACTTAAAACCTTATAACTGGTGTCTTATAAACGGAATCTTATAACCTTGGCCTTCTTTTGCTATATACCAAAATCTGTAAGTTTTTACATCTAATTTACTGACAAAGCTGAAGGGTAATTTTTTGCACGTATAATTTGTTATAGCATACGTTAGGATCTATATGAAGGGTAATTTTGAATACGTATGAAATCAACTAACAATAAAAGTTCACTGAAATGGTTAGTGTTAAACGTTTCTTAAAGTAAAAAATATAAATAAAAGATTCTTTCTTTGCAGCTTCTAAGACACAGTACGAAAAGAGAGTGACAATAAATGTATTAGGTAAGTTTTGTACATTTTTAGCAACCATTAAATTTCTATTCTTTCTTTTTTTATGCAATTTATTAAAATCTTTCGTTAATGTTTGAATTTTATTTGTACCACTCATATATCGTCATCGTAACATTAGTATGAAAGTTTCTTTGAACAATTTTTTGAGAAAGACTTTTTTTAAAAAGAAATGCCTATTTTACGCAAGCGCCTATTTTCCAAACACCCAGCGCAATATTCAGTGTTGAGAAGTTTATATTCCTAAATTTATTCTATATTTCTTGCTTACCGGATAAACTGAAAGCCTAAGAAGTCAGAAAGTTTAAGAAAGAAGTAATTAAGGACCCAATAATTAGAAAAATAAAGTTTACAACTCCAGCTGTGAAAAGACTGCTATGAGGCTTACTGATGACATCTACAGAAATGATTACGTTACTGTACAATTAATTAATTATTGAAATTTTATAATTACTTTAAGCTGTAAGTTATATGATACAAGTTACAGGGACATAGCGCTGAATCATACTTAGAGTTTTCAATTTCATTACCATATATATACTATATGTATTTCTCAACATCCATATAGCATATTATTTTCCTTATTTCCTCCTTACTTTCAGTGAAAGCATATATGGAATAAATTGCCGCAATAACTTATGCCAGCTTTATAAATACACTAAAATAAAAAATTATTCACACGTTTCCTCATATGCAAAATGTTTATTGGAGAAGTGCCGAATCATCAACTGCTAATGACTTACACTCGTATGATTCCTTCCTAGCTCCACCCAATATGTGTATTCATGGATTCTTAAAAGTCCTACAGACCGTCGCTCCTCTGCCTCAAGGATACACATCTCCGTCTGCTCTTCAGTTTTTTTCACTGTCTGCTTGTCCCTGCCCTCTCCTAGGAGCACGTAAGTATCAACTTCCATAGTCAAACAGCTAAATCAAAATGAAAAAAATGTATTTAAATATGCACTAAATATAATATTAAATATTTTCAGCGCCTGGGACAATATTGTTGATTTTTAGTGCAAAATTGCCGCCATTTCTTCCCAGTGGAGCTCTTCCTCTCTCACAGGATATATTTTTAGTTCCGCTTCCTCCTGGCACTCCACTAATATCATGTGCACCGCCTCCCATCCTTCCACCACCTCCATTTCTACCTCCATATGGGCCTCTTCCACCACCACCACCACCTCCTCCTCCTCCTCCTGTATATAGTCTTCCTCCTCCACCACCACCACCTCCTCCCCCACCACCTCCGCCTTTATATGGGCCTCCACCACCACCCTCCACCCCCGCCACCTCCTCTGTATAAACCCCCGCCGCCTCCTCCTCCCCCCCACCACCTCGCCACTGCCTCTGTATAAACCTCCACCTCCGCCACCCCCCCTCCGCCACCCCCCTCCACCTCCCCCTCCACCACTCCACCGCCTCTGTATAAACTTCCGCCGCCTCCTCCACCCCGCCTCCTCCCTCCACCGCCTCCTCCTCCACCCTCCGCCTCCCCCCTCCACCGCTCCCCGCCTCCACCGCCTCCCCCTCCACCGCCTCCTCCTTTATATGGGCCACCGCCACCGCCACCCCTCCCTCCGCCTCCTCTCTCCTCCCCACCCACCTCCCCCACCACCTCCGCCTCTCTATAAACCTCTGCCGCCCGCCTCCTCCTCCTCCCCCACCACCTCCGCCTTTATATGGGCCTCCTCCACCTCCTCCACCGCCTCTGTATAAACCTCCACCACCCCCTCCACCTCCGCCACCCCACCCCCTCCACCCTCCACCACCGCCCCTGTATAAACTTCCGCCTCCTCCTCCACACCGCCCCCCCTCCCCCTCCCGCCTCTCTATAAACCTCTTCCCCCACCGCCTCCTCCTCCACCTCCTCCTTTATATGGGCCTCCGCCACCCCCCTCCACCGCCTCCACCCCACCGCCTCCCCCTCCACCGCCTCCTCCTTTATATGGGCCACAACCACCCCCTCCACCTCCGCCTCTGTATAAACCTCCTCCCCCGCCGCCTCCTCCTCCACCTCCTCCTTTATATGGGCCTCCGCCACCCCCCCACCTCCTCCTCCACCACCGCCCACCTCCTCCACCACCGCCTTCTCCTTTGTATGGTCCTCCGCCACCCCCTCCACCACCGCCTCCGCCTTTTGTATGGTCCTCCGCCACCCCCTCCACCACCGCCTCTGTATAAACCCCCGCCACCTCCTCCACTACCTCCATATAAGCTACCCCCACCACCACCACCTCCCCCTCTGTACGGACCACCACCTATAGCACCTCCTCTTTACCTCCCACCGCCTCCACCTCCAGCCCCACCTCTACCGTATCCTTCTGCACCTGCTCCTCTACCGCCAGCTGGATTTCCGTACGCCGCTTCCGCACCTGCGGCTCCTATATACGGCTCCTGTTTGCAGCAAGAAATAACGTGCCCACAATGCATGTTGGGTTTACCGGAGAATTTCGAAAGTGTTTTCTGCATGTCTCCTTTTGGTAAGTTTTTTTCAATCAATTCATCCATACAGACTTACTGGAACATTGTAATAATTTGGCAGCGCATATTGTCCGTTATATCGCGAAACTTCCATATTAAATGGAAATTTTGAACGATATTCGATACCATCCTTTGGCCTAAATTAAAATACAAAAGATCTAAACATTTTTAAAAATATTAAACTTTTTTAACTATTTTTAAAAAACTTCACTATCGCTTTTAATATCGCGCTTTTAATATAGCATCGCTACCATTTTTTGAAAAGATATTTGCGGTTACATTAGGCTGAAATGAGCTTTGTTTTTTATTATTACAGCTCTTTAATTACAAGTGCTCCCAGTATCAGTTCTTTCTTTCTACTTTCCTGTGTTACACTATTTGTTAAGAAATCGCTTAAGAATTCATTACCGAATACTATCATTATTAAAGGATTTGAATTCTGTGATTGTTATTTTTACTTCTCACTTGACAACATTTCGTAATTAACAGAAAAAACTGTTTTGAACTTTTTACGTCTGGAAAACTTCTTCGTCAATACCTGGCAAGTTCATTCGTCGAAAGAGCCAAAGATCAGTAGTACAATGAACCGAAACCTTCGCTAACCTGCATGCTTAAAATACCGAAACGCTCGTCTCCGTCGATTACGCTTCTCATCCGTTTCCTCTCTTCCCTGTCCATTAATACACAAAGGGGTATGAAGATTTTAAAAGAAATCCTTTTTACTTCCTGACAAAGAAGCTTTTTGGGACGAGCTATCTGCAATAAGCGGATAAAACGCATTTGGGGAACCGCACCAAATACTGCGTATCTAAGCGGGAGGGAAGAAGACAACATCTCGGCTGTTTCGGGCGGTTGTGGTCGTTTGAATGAAAGGCTGTCGGGGGGTGTCCTTCAAAGTGATCCTTTGAAAATTTCATTTGAGAGCAAAATTCATTTTCAAGAACCATGTTTTTATTAATCGGTTTAAACTAGCTACTAATATTAAATAAAACCAGGTATCATAATAATAATAATAATTAAAAAATATTTTTACATTGAAATGAAAATATGACAAACGCGCATTTAATGTGAACAATGATCTTGCACTTCCTTGAAAAGTTTGGATAAGTCAGGTTTGTTTGTTGTTGTTTTTAATTTCAAGCAAGATTCAAGGTTCTCATCAGTAAGACTAATTATCAATTTACTTCTGATGAGGTTCATGTTTAATAAGGATTATTCGCTTGAATATGTAGAGCCATAGAGTGAAGTAACAGCAAATGCTAGCTTTTTTAACTGATTACGTAAGTCAGGAATACTATTCCAGGTGTTGAAAATTATAATACGTTCCTACTCCAGAACTTTTTAAACAGATTACTTTTGCTGAGAACTGAGATCCCCTTTAATTTTCTTTAATTTTTACATATTAACATTAAGTTCTTCAAATTTTGCGCTCCATAATTCTTAGTTTTTTTAACTCTAGTAATTGTATTTTAAAAATGTTAAAGGGAGAAAAATTCAATTCTGTTATGTCCACACTAAGAGGGGTTTATTTAGCAAAGACTAACAACGCTATGCTATTCCTGAATTTCTGAAACCTCTATAGAAAAACCTTCCCTCGTTTTTAAAATTTTTGGTTTGAAATAGTAAATGCCAACAACAGAATTATTTTCTTGGCGATATTTCAGAAGACTTGGAAATGAATTAATATTTCTCTTTTGAAATCTAGAGAAAAAGGAATAATTTGTTTTCGAACGAAATTACTATTTCCAACAAAAACAAAATTGCGTTTTCTTTCCCCTGTAGTTTACGATTAAAATTATTTAGATTAGATGAAACATGAAGAAATCAAACTTTTAGATTCACTCATCATCCGTTAGTTCATGATAGTCAACACACTTGTCAGGGAGAAGTACTTTAATGTCTATTATTAAGGAAGCGAAACCTTTTAAAACATTTCCTCTAGAAATCGAATGTACCTTATAATACAGCAGAAGATCTGCATATTCACTTTGTAGTTCATCTAAAAATTCTTTAAAGTGGCGACGATATAGAGCTTTAGCTATAATCATGTTGACAATCTTGATCACCAATTCCATAACATTGCAAAATTCTTCTGGAAACGTCTTCGCACAAATTGTCGCTTATTGAAGAATAATGTAATGTTCATCTTCAAGTCTTTGTGAAAAGTCACATACGTAGATCTAGTTACATTGATGATGGCGAAGAAGACTAGATCCCACATTCGGCGCCCGACTACACCTGGACCAATGGCCCTTTGATCAGCCCAATTTCTCTCTGGCCCCACCAACGTCGCAGACCCCACCGGCTCCAGTAAACATCACGGAAAGATTTGACTTCTTAGTGGATACAGTACTGGCCTCCATGAAACCCACAGTAACATTCGATGGGAGAACATTGTTTTTTTTTTGTTTTTTGTTTTTTTCTAATATTTTGGAACAGCCAGACAAACACTTTTTGCTGTTTCCTTTCACAGAAGTTTAAAGAATAACAATAGCTACAACCGCCCTACGACGACAGGCTTTAAACTGGTGTACAGAACCGGTATATTTTTACTAGGAGAACAGGCAGTGAGAGATATAGTTTTGAAATATTCAAAATCGCCCTTGTAAAAGCGTTCTCTGTTGTCAAGGACTGATTAAAGTTAAAAGCTGAATTATACAGCAAGTATCAAAATAAGGTTGAGAAGTTGACAGAATTTATTGTAAGAAAAATTCAAGTCATTAAGTTACTGTACGGGAAAGTCTTGATAACGAAATTATCCATATTATTTCGCCCCGACTATTTCCGCAAATCCAGGATTATATTAAATCAAGAAGCCCCAGCACTTTGGAACAGTTGTTTGAGCTGGCAGTTAAATCTGAAAGGCGGAGGGTGGTTGAAAGTACCCGTGCAATGGATTACGGTAAATCAACAAACGGGCAGTTCCGCAGGCCGAAAGCAGAAAATAAGAGATTTAAAAACGGGAAAAACTTTCAAGATAAAAAACAAAAGTTTTGACGATCACCAAAGTAGGCCGCAAGATTAAAAAACAAGGGACGGAAGAGAAGCAGTTAAATTAATGCGCGATGCTGACGGAAGGAGAGTGCAGATAACCCGCTCGTATTGAAATCTCTCTAAATTACGACTAAATATTGTGGTCATAAAAACTTGGACTTACCAGTCATTCAGATTTTACTAAATAATGTGACATCAGAGGTCCTGTTAGACATAGAGGCGCAAGCAAATTTTCTTTCTGAAAATATTTTTGAAAAACGTTTGAAGAACATCGACTATTTAGTGTGGAAAATACAAAAAGTTATTGCCGCACAAGAGAAACATTGCACGTGTATAGCCACTTTTAACGTTAATGTTAAAAACTAGTCCAAAAAGACTATATCATTTATTGTAAAATATCTCCGAGGTCTCAGTAATTTATGGATTTCCTTAAAAGAGCCGGAGCGCAAATAAATTTTCATGACGAAACTCTCAAGCTACAGATGTAAGCCAAGCCCGAGGAAGCAGCGTAACCACCCGCCTTGGAACTAGGGCATATGTAACCTGAAGACAAGAAGATATTAGAAGAATTAGTAAGAAATGTTTCTGATTATTTTTATAAGCCGGGTTTAACACAAATAGTGCAACATGAAGAACAACTGTCCTTGCAAAGCAAAACCGTTTAGGTATTATAAAGAAGAGATAATTCAAAAACAGATAGGGGATATGTTAAAAAATGAAATAATTATTTCCATCAAATGTCCGTATGCTAGTCCGGTAGCGTTTTGTAGAAAAACTAATGATCTGCCTCCCACAAACTTTAAAGCTTGCCGATTTGCTATTGACTATAGGAAGCTAAATAATTTAACGAAATATTCCGTTTATCCCCTCCCTATAATCAAAGAAATTATAAGGAAAATAAAATGCACTAAATACATGACCACGTTAGATCTTATCTCGGGGTATTTTCAAATAGTTATGAAACCCGAGGGTGTTCAAAATCTGCATTTATAATAAAATCAGGCACTTAATGCCTTTCTCAGAATGCCTTTTGGCCTGTATGCAGCCCCAGCGACCTTTAAACGAACAATGGTTACTAGTTTAAGACCTCTCCTTGAAACGTCTACTTTTATTTCCCTGTACAATACAATAGTAACGAGTGAAAATATCGATGACCATACTAAAGATTTAAATAGAGATTTTACATTATTAAGAGAAGCAGATTTAAAAGTGAATGCGACTATTCTTAATAAATGTAAATTTGCGACAAACCTAAGCTACCTAACAAACCTAAGGTACCTAAGCTATAAAAACAAACCTAAGGTACCTAAGCTATAAAATTTCTCAAAGGGGCTTGCAAACTGAAGATTCTAAGAAAATTGCCATAGAAAACTACCTAGAATTAAACTAGAAACCAAAAATTAGTCTAATTTTTGAGCATGCGCTTTTACTATCGAACATTTGTAAAAGACGTTGCACAGATAGCCGAACAACTGATAAAATTAAAAAGAAAACAGCACGGTTCTTTTGGTCAGCTGATGCTAATATGGCGTATGAAAAGTTGAAAACTGTGTTAATAACAAACGCCAGCATTATAATTTCCTGAAGGGTACGAAAACCAGAAATACCAGTTGACGCTTCAGTCTATGCTGTAGGCGCCGTTTTGATGCAAAGTGGTCAGCCCGTCGCCTATTTTAGTAAACCTCCCAACCAAACACAGCCTAATTACAAAACCACATAGGCTGTACTTTAGCGGTGCAGAAGTTATTATATTAGATTATATGTTGACAAGGTAATTTGTAACTGTGTATTCTCATCATGCTCCTCTGGGTCGACTACATTCCGTAAAAATCTTTACCCCAAGATTAGTTAGATGAGCCTTAAAACTATAAGAATAAAACTTAATAACTAAGTACACGCCCAGAAAAGACAACGTTGTGACAGATAACTTATAACGAATATAATTAGATGAACAAGACAATGAGATAAAATGTTCTACGTAACGTCGGAAATGTTCGACTCTCGT